GTGACCTCTAGCTCTACCTTTGGGCGGAGAATGAGCGGTCGGCGACGCCTAGTTTATTTTTGCGGTGAAAAAGACCGTGTAAATTTTCTTTTGTGACACCCTGTATATCAAAAGTCACTAAAACCTGCAATATTAGTATTTCACTTGAAGGTTGTTTCGCGACCAGTGCTTACACTTGGAGACAGAGTAGGCCGTTTGTGACTGTATAAAACCGACTGTAGCAGACAAGACAGGACAGGCAGGGCGACGGAAGCAACGGAGGTAAGCGTGCGAGTGCAGGCAGGCAAATTTTGCCCCCTTTTCACTTTCCAATTTCTTCAGAATCACGGAGTAGATGTTTTTCCATCGTCCGAGAGCCGGCCGGATCAGTGGCACGCACCATGTCTTCGATCAACAGGGCGATCAGGCTGCTCGGTTACAAGCTCGACCGCAAGCTGGGAGACTTCAAGTCCCGCCTTTTTTTGCGAAGACAGACGCCAGGTCAACACCGGCACCAGCATTTGGAGCCAACGCTTCCTGCACTAAGATGCCTGTCATAAGAGCGGCGCGCGTCCTGCCGTGCCCTCTCCCTCTTTCCTCATCCCCTTCACCGAAACGACCATTAGGAGCGTTGCCAACTGACACTATTCGCGACTCCAGCTTTTTGCTCGCCCTCTCGTGGCGGAAACCGGAACCACGATAGCGAGGGTCCCCGGAAGGCTGGTATGGCGGATCCCAGCGATAATTGCGTTCGTCCGTCGAAACGAACTGCTTCTAAATCCAAACGGCACTGTTCGGTGCCCCAGTGTACCGCTGCGGTATGGAAAGATAACGGTGAATCGTTTCACCGCTTCCCCAACCTCAAGGAAACGTGCAGAAGAGGCTCCGACATCGTCAACCGACGCGAAGAGTGGGCGCGAGTTCTTCGGACAGGGAAGACCGTCTCCGAAGCGATGACGGTGTGCTCGCGGCATTTCTCTGCGAGCGACTTTTTATTGCCAGGTAAGAGTGTGCGGATTTGTGGAGATGTATATATATCTCGCTTTTTGGCTTTAGATGGTTCGGGGACTTTGTGCGGCGGCGTACACAATAAGAAACAACACATCCTCCATTGAATATTTTGCCCATTCTGTAGCGCAGTAGAACTCTTCACGCTGATTCAACTAGTTTTCTTGAACGCGCCTATGATCGAGAACATTTTCCGTTTTAGTTCTTTGCACTCGATCATCGTTACGTACGGCGAAGTGGAGCGCGTAGAAGAGAATCGCGCTCGTCAGCCTGGAGCAGTCTTCGGTACTGCACGCTCGATGTGGAATCGGGCGCGAGATTATTCCGGAACAATTAGCAGTGCACTTCTTTAATCTGAAGAGCTTTTCTTCTAACTGATCCAAATTTGCCAGAAGTGAAACGGAGGTTTCTCTTCTGCTTTTAGTTCTGATTACTTTTGAGCCCTGTACCCTCACAATGCGCGTGCAGTAGTTTTTCTCTCCCAAAATGACCGATTTCAGTTTGATTGCTTTTGCAAGCGATACACACTTACTCAGAGTCCCAGCAAAAATGGGCTTAATTTCATTTTCTGGAATTTGCTCATTTTAGAGTAAAGTTTCGAATCAGAAGGCCAAAATGTTTTGTTTGCTTTCTGAAATGAGTCACTCTTCAAACTACTTCAGTCCCCATTATGTGATGATCATATCGTTCTTTATTTCCTCCAGGACATGCAACTCAAAGACGCCGTCTTAAGAGAGGAGTGGTACCCTCCCAGAACCTCCCTGTTCTTTCAACTGAAAACAAGGAGAAGAGGAAGAGGTTGCGGGAAGTGAGCGAAGGCCGCCAGAAGCGACGCGATAAGAGAGCAGCAGTAGAGCCTCTGTTAGCCAAGGTAAATGCATGTCTCGCACAGTCTTTATTTTACTTTCCTATCAATTCAGTTTCTCATAAAAAGTTCAGGTTGATGTGCACACCTTAACATCTGTGACTCAGAAAGTGTGTATAAATATGCCTAAACTTTATTCCAGGTTGCACTCTGCGAAGCTGAGAAGTCCTGCAATCAAGTGGACGACAACGCAGAGTCGGTTGAAGATCATGAAGACAGGGCAGAGTCGGCAGAGGATGGTGAAAGCAGCACAGTGCCCCTGCCTGTTGCGTCGCCAGTGGTCCTCCTTGACATGGGTGTACAGGTGTCAAGTGGGGACTTTGGCGAGAACTTTTCTCGTGTGGTAAATAAAGAAAATGTGTGTTCCTTTACCGGCCTTCCCAACATGGAGCTTCTCACTGTTCTAGAGAAGCTCGTGTCTGATACGACGCCCACATCAACACGAGCTTACCTGTCAGCAAAAGACAAAATAGTCATGACTATGATGGCCTTGAAACATGCTCTAACATTTGACTTCCTGTCTCAGATCTTTGGAGTGTGTCCGACCACAGTGAGCACCACTGTACGGAAGACAACAAGGGTCCTTGCGGCATTTCTTAAGACTGCCATAACTTGGCCATCCAAGGATGAAGTTCTGCATAACTTGCCGGTCTGTTTTGAGAAGTTTTCGCATGTTCGTGTTGTGCTCGACTGCACGGAAATTCCTGTGGGCACTCCGAAGTGTTTGAGGTGTCGCATCAGCACATACTTCCATTACAAAAAGGGACACACCATAAAATATATGGTAGGTGTTTCACCTGGTGGTTTAGTGACCTACGTCAGTAGTGGTTACGGAGGTCGAGCCTCGGACAAGGCTATCTTCGACCAAAGTGGTTTGGTAGATATGCTCTTGCCAGGAATAGACCACATAATGGTGGACAAGGGGTTTCTCATTGACAGCACATGCGAAACAAGGCTGATAGCTGTGGTGAGGCCCCCATTCCTACATGCAAAAAAGCAGCTCTCAAAGGGTGAAGCCCTTGCAACAAAGCGCATAGCAGCAGCAAGGGTTCACGTGGAGAGGGTGACTCAAAGAATCAAGCTGCTCAAGATTGCATCTCAAAAGATGCCCTGGCACATGGTGCCACTAGCAGATGACATTCTTACCATTGCATGTGCCTTAACCAATTTGTCTCCACAAGTTCTCGCAGACAGCAGGTTTCTTTAAGCTTTTCATAAAGGGACGGGGCTTTGGTTAGCTTAAGAGGTAAGCACGCACTTTTCAGTCGAGATCAGAAATAAAACCTTTTTTTTTCCTCAAAAGAATTGAGGTTTAATTTACATCACCTGGGGACATTTTTGGATATATATATTTTTATTAATTTGAAGTATAACAGGCTAAACCAAAACTGTGTGTCTTTTGGCTGTTCTGCAGCATTGCTACCAAGGTAAGAATGTAATGAGTTTTGCTGCAAGATGACGTCTTCAGTATGAAGGTGGTGTACTGTGAACAATTTAGTTTTGAACCCCTGCACAAAATTGCCCCTTGTTTGTATTGGATTGCCGCAAAATTGCCAAAACGGTTTGCATGTGTATTAATGTAAAGTACGGCTTTAAGTTTTAAAATGTGTATAATTTGAAGTATGTCAATTTGTGATAAATATGTATTCTATGCTTCGTGCTTTACCGCCAAGGCCTGTGAGCTGTTTGTAAGCACGCGAAAATAAACACTGAATTGAATTGAATCATCCCTGCTACAATTGTTAGTACTTTATCGCACTTGCTTCTGTCACCCTGAAGCGATTCTGCAAAACGCTGCTTTGTTGGTGTAGCCTTTCAAGACTTCCCTTTCAGAGCTTCATATTGACTCCATATTTTGTTATGTGTGGCCTGCATGTCTATGTTAACATGTTTTATTATCACCATAGTGATATTATATCAATGGTTGACCTCTCTACCTCACTCGTTGCATTACCTTGTGTCACCGTGAAGCAATCCTGCCAGGCACGTAGCCAGGATTGTTTTTTTTTTTTTTGGGGGGGGGGGGCGGTAAGCTGAGAGACTTGCCTTGTGCAGGCAGTGAAATGTTTCTTAGTGAAATATCGGCTCTCACTCTGAGAGTAGGACATTCTTCTGTAACATCTTAGGCCAGCTTCAAGCACTTTCGTGATCCATTTGGCCTTCACACTTGTCTGGTAGTGCCCAATGCGAGGAGATGGCAGCAAATGCCAAGGAACAAACACTAGGTAGCAATGTTTTGGTACAAAGGCATTGCAGTACAAGTTACACGAGTCGCAGAGGAAGCTGGTCTCTGAGGGACACAAGTTTTTGAGTGAAACTTGAGTTTCTTTGTGTAGATTTATTATTAATAAAATATTGCACACTTCTATACAGTTGCTTTCATGCAAGCATCACAGTAAGGAAATTTCAACTTGTTGAAGACAGGTACTAATTCTACAATTTACACGGTGAATGAAGATGCCTGTTTAAGAGTTTAGGATAAATTTTTGTAATTTTGTTCAACATGCATGTTTAGAATGTGAAAGCACCGGTTCTCCTTTGAAAGTTAAATCTAGAAAAAGGTAGGAACAGCGTATGACCACAAAACTTCCTTTTTCTCGAGATGGTGATGAGCGTAGAACATTCACTTTAGTTTTAAATTATAGCATGAACGTAATTGAGCTAGTAGTATATCTCATAAATAATTATTTTATCACATAACAAGCACATGCATACGTCTTCATGTACCACATCAACAGTTCCTTCTGAAGTTAGCAGAAATAAATACTGAGGAATAATCAATCCGAAGAAATAACTAGAAGTTTGAGAGCTTCTAAAAGGACAGTATTGAGCGAATTCTGCATTCTGACCTCAAAGTAAAAATAAGCGCCAAGTTCTTTCCCAACTATACTCGCACACATAGTTTCCTACTGAAGAATGCAGGAGGTGACCAACTCTTGAGACAAAGCCAACAGGAAAAACATTTAACGAGGCAAAACTGTTGCTTCACTGCAAATATGCTACTGCTCACAAAAAAAGATGGCAAAAAGAAAAAAAATGAATCTGTCCTGTAGCCCACTCTAAAAAAACAACAAAGAAAAGTACTGCACTCTAGCGGTCCAACACAGTACACCAGCTGCCGCACCAAGTATCAGACTAGTCGTGTTTTTCACTCTACCGACGAACATAGCACTGGAAGTACACGCTCAAAGTAAATTCTCTTTACGGTTGTCAGGAGAGGCCAAACGAAAGCTTCATCGAAATCCACGCATATGACCTCGATTGAATCATCCATGCTAGCATAAATAACAAGATCACAGGTCTTCACATCAAGAAGAACCATCCCCAGCTGCATCTGCTCATAGAAGGTGTGGCGCTTCTTTTGGCTGTAGGTACCAGCCTCGTCAGTCTCCAGAAAATCACAGGTGGCCAAGAGTGCCTTTGCAGTCATCGTTTCTCCCTTTTTGAGACACTTGATTTCGATCAACTTGCCTGGTCGTGACCCCTCGAACACAACGCCATCAGGGGAGCAGCCGAGCCAGGGGTTTTGTGGCGAAACAACGAGTCCACACGGAAAAATGTCAACTCGTCGGGTCTTTGCATACTTCTCCCGTGCCTTTGGCTCGTATCGTAGACCATGGGCAGTTGCGGCATTGCCATGGAATGATGGCTGCATTGTGGACCGCACCTTCTTTTCCCAGTTTCCCAACTTGTAGGTAGAGAGGGGGTAGCATGTTGTTCCTGCAATAAAATGTAGCAAGCAGGTGGTTCCTGGCTTACATTCCAGTAAATACAGCACATAACGTAACAAAATCTGCCTCTCTTGCAAGTCAGGTTACAGGCAGCACTAATTTAATGCACCAGCCATGCTTCTTAGGTCATACATGACACGCCCAGGAACATGAGTGGAAACTACAAAAGCCGGCACCGAAGCACTTGCACGGTAGCCAGGCTTTTGCTCCCTGGTGTACATCCTGATTAAATAAGACCAATGTCGCTTCTCTGATAACTCGGTAAATATTCGTTCATCAAGCGAACCAAGTAAATGAATGCTCTTCTGCTTTGGTTTGAATTATTAATCCTTTTGCTGTCTGCATGGTGTGGGCACAGGAGAAAAATGCAGGCAAATTCATCATGACTAGGCACAACTGCGAGGGAACAAGGGAGTTCTTGAACTTTCCATACTCCGAAAACCTTTTTTGAAAGCGAGCTGCACCTACCGTGTCCAAATGCAACTAGAGGAATGGTAGTTTCCAAATAAAATATTTATCTTAAAACTTCAATTATTTTTAACATTTTTAATGTTTCACATTATAAACGGTTGAAACGCGTGCAATTACAGTATGGAAGCTACCCGAACCTTTCCACGACTCGATGTTTGGTTGTTCCTTTGAATCCTTATCTAGATAAAGATTCGTCCCATTACTAGTTATTAATACACAATAGACTTGCCTGTGATCCGGCAGCGACGTTCCATCATCCAGGCTGCCTTGTTCTCTTTTGTGTCCCGAAGCATGACAGCGGCTGTTTCAACAGAGACAGCGACTTGTTGATCGTAGAAAGAAGGGCAGCCTTCCGGAGGAGAGGCCGGAACTGCGGCAAGCCTTGCCAAAAGATCACTGCCTTCGGCGCACTCTATGGCCTGCCTGTACTTCTCGTCCAGCCTTGACGGTTCCGGGACACTGGAGATAGACCACAAGCCAATCTGTACAGTGAACATGATCAAATAGAGCCTCATGACAGTGGCTCAAGCGAAAGTAATGCATAGAGATTCTGCAACGTTAACTTTGCTTGTTTTTCTTTACTATAAAACACAGACAAAGCTCATGTCTAGTATAAATTTTATTCAAATTCTTGTCTTATGCAGACCCCACACCGTTCCAGCATGCATGTATAGTAATGGGATATGAAACACCAAGCTACTATGAGAGAGATGTTTGTACAGTCCACCAAATGCTGATCCATTGTTAAATCTGAGATTATCTTACTTACTGCACCTGCTACATTCTAATTCATACATACTGCACATACTAGTCCAAGGTTAAGGCTCGTTCCCATAGTTGTGAGCGAGTGTGACTACGACCGCTCACTACGACGTGCGGAACCCATCATAGGGAAGCTGGGGAAACACGAGAAGTCTCTACCTTGCGCACCCTATCATCCACGGGTAGGAATTACAGCTTTCGGCAAAACAAAACGAGCAACAAACTGTTGTATGGTGCATGCGGCCTCTCTTGGTGAAGCGAAAGTTGTGCCGGCGGTACACCAGCGAACCTAGTTGCAATAATCAGCCACCTAACAAGTAATGAGTTTTAGTTAGAACATTACCCAAACAAAGGCGGCGACCAATGGGTTGTAATGAAAATTGTGCTTCATATGTGGCCGAAGTTTGGTTAAAGCTCTCCCCGTGTAATTCGGAAGACAGTTAAGAAGTCCCAAGCTAGAGGCTCCACATTTCAAACCCTCGTTGAAATAAAAATTGCTGATAACAAACGGCCCCTATTTTTCAACAGATCCAGTGTGTTTGGCGAATTATGTGATTACAAAGCAGGGAGGAAAGCAAAAAAACAGTGTTGAATCAACATGTATTATTGGGATCATAGCGACAGCTGGCTTTGCCGAGTACCACGACAAAACATTTGTGCTAAATTCTTTTTACCTCGGAAATTGGGACTGAAAGACCAAAGCATTTGCAGAGATGCGATTGGTCGTAGTCATTTTGGAGCAGCTATTGGAGCAGCCAAAAGTTCATTTTGGAGAAGCAAAAAGAGCTTATGGAGCATAACCGCACACTTCATTTTCATCTATATCACTGCAAATGTGACGAGGAGACGGCAAATATTAAAACAAACACTAGCTGTTTAGTTGTGTGTGGAAGCACTGGACATGGTAACAAGACGGCGACTGGTGAAGGACAGTGCAAACTGCCGTGAGTGATTATTTTAGGTATGAAATCCCACTGAACAAATGTTGAAATACAATCATTTTGGACACTTAGATTTATCTGTCCTACAAGTTCTGGGGGGAGGGGGGTTGTAACAAAGCTGCAATTTATAATTCAGACAAGAAACAAAGAACAAAGCATAAAAAATAAACCTACAAAAGCATGGGCCACGTCTCGCTCTGGACGAGTACCTGTCCCCTTAGCACGCAGGCGCGCTGCGGCGAAGCAAGACACACAACATCACGATGCCTAGTTCGCAATCGTCGTTTCACTGCAGCACACCAGTATGCAGTGAGAAGCGCACTCAACAGAGCTAAGTAACCCACCAGAACAGACCACGAGAGTTATTGCGAAACTTCCGAGTACTGGCAGTGCTTGGTGCAAAATCAAATCGAACAGTAAGTTATTTGAGGCGATTATCGAAAGTCCTGAAAACCCGCACGAGCCTACCGTAACGATCCGGCCCGGTAGCAAGGCCTGCAACTGTTATATTTTCAGTATTTTTTAAGTGAACTTGAGTTCTGGCGCAAATTCCTCACATTTTGGTCAAATGTAGCAGGGTAAGCACTTTGGCGCAAATGGCGCAGCAATCACATCACCCATTTGCCGCTCCCCCAACCCCGGTATCCCCGCGTGATCAGCGACATCATTCCACACAGCACAACCAAGCAGAGCAAGCTTCCCCCTTATGCTTACGGGATCATCACCCGACCCATCAAGCTTAGCCACCCCTTCAACAAGTGGCCAATGGTATGATAAAAAGAAGTAAAGCGGAAAATACTTGTCCTATCGGTATTTTCAGTCACTTATGAATGCCATTCTCGAAGAGTCGAACACACACACACACATCCTAGGTGCAAATTCTTGCACTGGATTGCAGCACACACACAGACAGGGATGTAAACAAAGCAACAAAGCAGCATTTCAGCATAATCCCATCCTTACAGTGAGTGAAGGAAAGCTAGGACAGCTTTCCTACTTCGGTAGAAGGAAGCTAGGTAGTCACACCTAGTCGTAAACAGTTGCAGTCTCACTCAATCTTAACTGTGTGAAACAGCCTTTGTACTGTACATAGTCGACAAAGGATAAGCAAATACATTTTTAGCTCACCTGCTTGACCGATCAGCCCGCCTCCTCCTCCTGTAAAAAGAAAAAAACAACAAACAATTGGATTTAGTATGTAAACGATACTCTAAATCTTGCATCTATGTATTGAAGGTTCAGCAAACAATGTTTGAAGGCCACAGTAAGTCAAATCCCGACGTTTCTGATACATAGACAAAAGTTAAATTCAACCAAAACATGTGGCTGAATATTAAGCAATAAAATAAATAGACATGGCAACAGTCACTACTCATCATTGAGTAATGCCACCCATTACCTTTGATAGAACGGCTTATTAGGCCCTCATAATATTGCGACACCATATTCGTAAAGTTTCCATACATAAAATTTAATAAAATGACATGAAAAGTTCAACAACCTGAAGGATACACTTCCTTAAATTGTTGTGAAAGGAGACAGAAAGCAACGAGGAAGGTTAAGACATACGAGGGGAATATTGATTAAAACCTTACTTTTTGCCGGAGGTCGGTAGGTATGGCCTTCTCGACATATTGCCGCGATCATACCCAGCAGAGTCGGCAGCGCTCTTAATGGCCTCACGCGCATGTCGCTCGGGTATGTCTCCCACCACTGCATAACATCTTATCTTTTTTTACCATAAGTGGACGGTTTCGAAGGTTGGGGAAACGTGTAGTTTGTTCATGTTCAGAGTGCATAGTTCCCGAACGATAGAGGTAGAATATTTTAGGCTGCCAAGGAAGACTCAAAAAAAGCCGCGGTACGATGTATGGAGTCAGCCTATTGCAAGCGCTCCAGCCAGCCTTTTCGCCGACATCAACACCCGCAATGCCTGCTGTCTGTTGTGGCACAGGTTCGCCAGGAAACTTTAGTTTCTTCAGTTCTTCACTGCCTTGTAACTTGTCATACGTGACAATTTGGTGAAGTAACGGGGTAGAACTGAAGAAACTAAAGTTTACTGGCAAATTTGTACCACGACAAAAGACAAAGCGCTCGGAACTGATTGCCGCTGACAACACTATTCAAGCCGATTGGAATGAATTTGCTTGGCCTATTCGCACCACTAATGCAAGGAAACAGGTGGATAATCGTCGCAATAGATTACGTTGCATGATATGCCGCGAAGACAATCCTCCCATTGGAAACTGCTGTGTAAGTCGCCAAATGCTTTGTCAAGTGCAGTGTCTTCAGACACAGTGTCCCCGAGGATCTGTTCACAGACTGAGGATCCTCGTTTGTGGCGCAGCTAACTCAAGGAATCCTTCGGCTCAGCCACACCAGCCATCGTCGCACCACTGCGTACCACCTGCAAACCAACGGGCCGAAAGAGCGTTTGAACAAGACCATAGCCAACATGACTTCCATGTATGTCGATGTGGAGCACAAGACGTGGAACGAGGTGTTACCCTAAGTCACGTCTGCCTACAACACGGCGTTGAAAAAGACGACTGGTGTGACGCTCTTCCAGCTGGTTCAGGGCCGGATGGTGACGACTATGCTCAATGTGATGCTGCCCCACGAGCCAGCTGATGACAGGTGCGGCGGCGCCTAGGTGGTTGTTCAATGGGCAGAAGACTGCTAGCTTGCCCGGTACATAAATATGTAGAACTGATCACCTAACAAGCGCCCATCCCCATGCTTTTCTTGATTATCTCCAAAATCTCCAAATTTTGAGTGGGCATTTTTGCTCGGTATTTTACGGTAGGTAAAACTGACCTAACAAGTGCTCATCCCTTAATTTCTGCTATTATTTTCACATTTTGAGGAGGCGCTTTCTTGGTATTTTACGGTAATCTGACATCCACCAATGAATGAATGAGCACGTGGAACAAGCACTTATGTAGCCTCAAGGATCCTGTCATCATCTGTCCGCATGTGAGAAGTTCTGACCAAAATATTGTCCTGTCGAGGCTCACAAACAGCAAATACGGCTTTGCATTAACCAAGTGTGCCCATTCAGCACAAAGCTCTGACATTGCTCCCAATCACCAGCTTTAAAGGCTATTACTAGCCGCTTTGACATGAATGCGACTTGAGCAAATCAACTCCAATCGTTCTTCAAATGGAACCGGTGCGGCAATGTTTACATGAATGCACACCAAGCCCTACGCAAAGGTGGTGCCACACCGTGTGAAAGCTCAACGTCCAAGCTGAGTTTCCGGCACCAGCCGTACCACATGACCACGTTTTCCGATGTATTGCACGTGAAGGCCTTTCGACGCTTTTGGTGAACGTAAACATCAGAGATAAAGATTATGCCCGCTGTCTTTGATGCTGTGGAAGAAGTTGTGAGACGGAAAGACATCAAAACCCAAGCGTTTTGGTCTCCAGGCCGTCGTGCCACTCTGGACCAGAGGAGACGCACATGCACACGCTGTGGCGAGCAAAATCGTTTCCAAACGCGCTGAGGAATCTACAGCGCATCGTCCCGCTAGCTTCGACCAGACAAACCGGAGGCTCAAAGGCTCCGGCGCAGCCAGGAATGGCACCGCGGTAGGAGCTGCTCGTTCTGCGCTACCATGCAGTGCTCGGAGCTCTCGGCGTAGTTCGTGCTTGCGCTGAACCCTTCAGGGACCCCCTCCGACGCGTAAGTCATACTTCGCGAGGCTTGGACGGGGGCTGCCCTCACCGAGTAGCTCAGCTATCTCCGCTCACTTATGAAGGCAATAAAAGCTTGCGTTTTTCCCTGGGAGAAAACTGCGGACGACAACACAGCACCGCTCTCCGCGCCGCCAAAGAGGTTGGCCGCCGCCGTGTTCTCAGCTGTTCACTCGTTCTCGCAGCGGACGCCTTCCCATAAGCCTCCCCTTCCCAAAATGCGATGCGACCTCCGTTTACATGGGCTGAATGAATGCGCATCTGCCACCTCGATCTACCTTCGTCTCTCGACTTGAATGCGAATCACTTCCTTAGCGCATTATTCTGTGAACATGACCACATCGAATGCGACAACCTGAATCGGTGCAACTAAGTAACATTCATAGCCGCGTTTACATGAATACGACTTCAGCACATCGGCCCCAATCGTCCTTCGAATGAAGCCGACACAGCAATGTTTACATGAATGTGCACCAAGCCCTATGCAAAGGTGGTGCCACGCCGCGTCAAAGTTCAAAGTTAAAGCTGCGTTTCTGGCACCGGCCACACCCCGTAACCAACTTTTCTGGTGCATCGCACGTGAAGGCCTTTCGACGCTTTCGGCGAGCGTAAAGACTGTGCCAGCTGTCTTCGATGCTGTACAAGAAGTTACGAAACGGAAGAAGCATCAAAACACAAAGGTTTTGGGCTCTGGGTCGGGCCACCGGGCCACTTTGGGTCAGAGGTGATGTGCGTGCACACGGCCTGGCGAGCGAGATCTTTTCCAACCGCTCCAAGGACGCAACCTTGCTTCTCCTTGCCAAACCTTGCGAACTGCGACCGGACCCCAAAGCCGAAAAGCTCTGGTGCAGCCAGGAATGGCACTGAGGCAGGAGCTACTCGTTCTGCGCTACCATGCAGTGCTCGGAGCTCGTCCTTGTGCTGAAGCCTCTAGGGACTCCCTCGATCGTGCAAGTTGCATCTTGCAAGGCTTGAAGAGGTGGCACCCTCACCGAGCAGCTCAACTATATTCCGCTCACTTAGCATAGCAATAAAAGTTTGCGTTTCTTATCAGGAGAAAACTGCGGGCAACCACACAGGACCGCTCTCCGCAGCCAGAGCCTTCCCATAATCCTTTCCGTTCCAAAATGCGGTGTAACCTCCGTTTACATGGGTTGAATGAATGGGCATTTGCCGTCTCAATCTACCTCTGTCTAGCAACTTGAATGCAATATGCTTCCCTAGCGCATTATGCCGTTTACATGACTGGATTCAATGCGACAACTGGATTCGATGCGGTTAAGTCGCAGCTACTGCCACCAGGGATCACAGTTTGACACAAGACGAATATGCTGATAAGATACGGTGTGCTTACCAACATCTAAATAATCAATATGCGACGAAAAAAAATGTAATCAATATGGTTTGTTTTTGTCACTTAGCAACACTCAAGCCTAGGCAGGGGACACCTACCTGTGTCTCAGGAGGGGCGCACAGAACAAAAGACACTTATAAGATGAATTTGTCCCTACCTATGCTTGGCGAGCGCAGAATTAAAGCAGGCGCCTGTCAGCTGCTTGAGGATAGCTGCCTGCGCCTCGGGTGAAGGCTCCAGCGTAGGTCGGAGCTTCTTTACATGGCAGAACATCTTGTACGGCACAGGATCGCCATACAACTCCTTTCCAGGGGTCTTTTTCCATGCGCACTCCTTGTCGGTGCAGCTTAGATCTTCGAGATGCTGGATTCCCTTTCTGTAAAATGAAACCGAAACTATAAAGCTCGCATGGCTTACAGGTAATCTGCGACGCGTCTGTACTGTGCTTTGAGTATGCAATACAGTACATCACATGAGCGAAATACTATCATGTTAGAAACAGGTTCGTTGGTTTAAAAATGGGACCGTGCTACGATCGCGCCGACGCTCTGTGCGCCTATGAAACCTGGCGCCGGCAACAGAGAAACACTTAGGGGCAACCCTACGCACGCATTTTAACCACCACCGTGAAAATAGTTATCGTGTTTCAAAGCGCGACACCTGCGTGCGATATCAGTATGCGACGCGCCTGCGCTCAAGAGATACGAGCGAGCATTAATCAGAGCCGCCGAAAGACTACACCGAACTCGCGCCAGTCGTACCGTGTTGTGTAGGTTGCTAGGTGCCTACCTGCTGCAGTGAAGAAGCGTGGCGACAGCGTGCTTGCAGCATTCTGATGATCCCGCCACGCACGAGCAGACGGCACTGTCCACACGGAACTTTGGGCCATCTCCCGCGACAAGTTTTACGGTGATCTCATGCGGATCGCCTCGGACGCTGCTCGTTGCGAGGCACAACGCCAATATTTCAACGTTGTCCTCGGACGACGATGTTTTGCCGCAAAGAAACAAATGCCCGGCCTGTAACAGGAGGTCCGCTTCCTCGTAGCACCGCGAATATTTCGTAGCGTTAGCATATTCCAAAATACTCGTAAGGAGCAGGGCTCTCGCCGTCCAACCGACCCTCACTAACTCGGCCATTTTGAAAATGCAGCGGCGCCCCCTATAGTGATTTGGAGTCGCGAATAGCGGCCGTGATAGCGCAGGAGATTTGACGTCTGCTATTGTGATACCAGTAGGGGGTTGTGAATAGTGGTTCGATTCGAATAGCGTGGACAGCAGGGGACTTGTAAGCAGAATACTTTGCATCCACGAAGAGGGGTGTCTTCTCTGCACTTTAGGAGAAGGCAACGTACATCGCATAGCAGCTGGACAAGAGACAGACAACTGCAGCTGCGATGTGGTGAATACGTTTCACCAACACTATTCCGTCCACATGAATTTCAAATGAGGGGGTCGAAGATGTCTTGTCCTGCCTTGGGCCGTACGATAAGAGTTAATTGGGGCTGGGCTGGATCCTAAAAAGAATAACGAATAGATCCTGAATTACATACAAGAACGTGAATGATAAAAACACGAGACAATAGTTAACGAGGTATAAATTGTTTTAGTCGTGAATAACCACAGCTATAGTGAAATTATTAAGCGGTTTTCAGTACACAGTAGACATATGAATAGTAATATTTTCTACAGTACTACAAATCTAATATAGAAATATTAGCAAATGCTCTATTTATGTCCTGACCAAAATGATTACTGCTTAACAACGAGACACTGTTCCCTGTTTAAGCTGTTGAAATTAAGTTGTACATATAGGTCTGCCAATCAAACTCTCATGCTATCGAAATATTTTTTAAAGCTGCGACTTACGCTGTTGACAGTAAACAATGATGACTGCTCCTCGTTGAACAGTTGTGCGAGACAAAGAAAACAGCATACTGACTTGGCCTCTCGAAAAAGAAGGAAGATAAAAATGACATCGACTTCTTAATTGCCATATCGCATACATTCTGACTCAACATGAATTCAAACAAAAACGAGGTGCGGGCTATCATCTTCCAAGCAGGCTCAGAAATCTTGCACATGCGATTCTACGACCCTCGTGAAAACGAGAAAAAAAAATGCAGTGGACTACCGAAATACAAAGGACTGCATTAACATTTGTGGTCAACAGAGTAGGTAGCCAGGCAAATTTCCACATTTCATCAACCGACTTTGCTTCATCAAGGTGTCTTCACAGGTACTAATTGAAACGAACGTTTTGTAGCGAAATCATGGACTGGCAGTTTGATGTTTACTGAGAGCTTCTTTCTCAAGTACAAAGGGGGCCGGGGGGGGGGGGGGGGGGGGGGGGCTTTTGCTATATAACCCTGCCTCAGTAAACAGTTATTTGAGAAATTTTCACAGTTTAAACGGTGGGAATAGTGCACACAAGGACAAACACCGGAGAAAGAACAGCAAACAGCGCTAACTCGCAAATAGAAAATGTATTATAGAGTCAGCGGAATATCTACACCATCAAACAATACATATAAATGAGATATACATAAAAACCTCGTGAATCACTTTCAGGCATTTTTGAAATGGGTGGAACTCCTTGCAAGGTGCAACTCCTTCAGAAAGGAGTTGCACCTTGCAGCTTGGCACTCCCTGGACAGGTTTCTTTCAAGCTCCTTCAGTTCTCGAAGGTAGTCAGAAGAGGGTGATACTTCATTATCCGCTGAAGGAGGCCATTCGTTGTCTTTTCCACTTCTGCTTGTACACTTGAAATGCTGCTGGTCCCCTTCATGATATCCAGCTCCTGTTGCAGCTGGAAGCTTAATTTTTCTTGGTTTGGTCAACAGAGCAAGGCATTCTTATTTAATTAAGGCAAGCAGTAATAAAGTTACACCCTACTGTAGAAAATATCACAAATGTTAGTTTAAACGTCCATCAAGCTCTAGCTTGGATGACATCAAATATATTACTCTGCTTGTGAATCCCCTAGATAACTTCTATGAGACACTGAAATTTCGGCCTTGCAAAAATAGAGACAACATTCTGGATTTCTAATTTCATATGTGGCAGATGCGGGCTTCTAGCTCCGATTCCCACAAACCCTGTCTCCGGATGAATATAACACTGCAATACTTCGCTCTCGGCAAAAGGGTTTATTCACTCAGTCATTGCCTTGGGGGGTTTCGGGATCGGGGGACGGTCATCAGCGAGGCCGGGGGAGAGTCCGCTGCCACAGCAGCTTCTCCGAGTCCCAGCGGTGGTCGTCCACACCGCGTCATGGGGACGTCGTCGTCCAGCGTCGCTGTCCGGTCCGTTTTTCGAGTCCGCCACTCGACGTAGTGCCCGCACTCCCCGCGCCAGCGTCCACCGCAGCCCGAGTCGGCAGCAAGAGAGCCTTCCTTAAAATTGGTTTGTTCTTTATGTTTATACAGCCTTGATGGAGATGCGCCTCAACGGGTAATCGGTCTCTTAGCTGTAGATGAGAAATTTAGCCAGTGCGGTACAACCGCTAACCTGGGGTTTTTAACGTGCATCACGCAGTAGTGATCACACGAACGCGTGCCGGTACGAAACTCATCCAGATCGAAACGGGCGGGGGCGGCGGGGATCGAACCTAGGAGGTTCCCAGCGCAAGCTTTCGCTCCACGCTCCGAGCTGAGACGCGTTAGCCCACGCGGCCACTTCCTCCCCAGAGAGCCTTCCTTTGTCTCTGTTCCCCTTTTTATATCCTCGCCCCCACCGATCACGTGCCCACCCCGACCCGTCCACGTGTACACGCACGCCCCCGCCACGGTCCCCGCACGATTCCCGAGCCGGGATGACGGGCCGTACGGTGACGCTCCCTCGTCCAAGGATCCGGGTAAAGGGGTGTCCAAACAGGACACTACAAAACCCGCGACTCCGACAAATCGTGAAAATTGAAGCGGACGCTTCTATTTTTACGGTCTGTCGGAGTCGTGAAAATGTTTGCAGGAGTCGTGAAAATTTTTATGATCACGACTGCTCTCCTCTTCAGATTGACGTCACACGCCACCTGCGTCTGTCTCACCTCGCCAACGCCCTCGCGTACCGCCGTCGCCTCGGCTCGAAGGCCAAGGAGGTCCGGCTTTGGGTGGATTTGGGACATTCCTGCGTCGAAGGGTGCGTTTCGCCCGCCTCGGATCTGCTTTCTTTGTCGAGATTCACTTCCGTCGTGATGGCGTCCGATGCGGTTCCGTATTGTCAGCCGAGGCCTTGAGCAATTGACCGACAGCCAACAGAGCGTGTGAGTGGCTCTCCGGACCCACGTGATGAGCAGAGCAAGGCCGTCGTGGAGGAAGCGAGGGGGAGATTCGACGGAGGGAAGTTTCCCCCCGGGAAGAATTGACGGAGGGAAATTTCCCTCCGACGGCCGGAAGCGGATCGCGGCAGGGCGCGGCACGATTTGCCGGAGTCGCGGGTTTTGTAGTGTCCTGTTTGGACACCCCTTAAGCAGGAATGTTCGGCCCTGGCAGGGCGCGGGTAGAACGGGCGAAGGAGCGGGGGAAATGCGGGAAAGACGGGACTCCAGGGTGGGGCGGCCGGACGGATCCCCACACAGATTAACGAGTTCAGATCTATTATCTGACCTCTAACAAAAGAAAACAAAAACTGACTTGGAAAAACATCGAAACCATGTCTTGTTGAGGTATGCTTTATAGATAAAAATGTTATCTTGGAGACGAGGTGGGCGAGGCAACCACTCAGGTGTGGAAGCAGGAAAAAGGGAATCGCTGCAAAGCAAGACCTCTGGCCCCCCCTTTTCATGATCATGATGCCTTTCTCCAACCAAATACTGCCAGTGCGCATGTCATAAACAGGTTCTAAACCCAGATGAAGAGCAAAACGGCACTGCAAGTAGGCAACTGCAAACCACGTTGCTAACTGAATGGTCCTTTTCCGGAGTTTCCACGGCGCATGCACGGCAGCAGCAGACAGGAGTCCGCCATTTTTGGTGGCGTGGTACGTCCGGCTCGGGGCTGCAGGAGGCAGCGGTGCTCGCGCGTTTCGAAGCTCTCCGACAGGCCCTACCGCTGTTTTGTCGTTGGCTGCAGCAACGACAGCAAGCGTTGTCGCGGTTTAAGCTTCTTTGGGTTTCCTTCTACCAGCCTGCACTCGACGAAGCGGCAGCTCTGGATTCGGGCGATCCAGCGATACAATGTGGACGGCTCGTAAAGGCAGCCTTATAAGCACTCCCGCGTTTGCAGTTGCCACTTCAAAGAAGGTTCATGTTTTTGTTCCTTCATTTTTTATTTGTGTGTGAATACAAGTCAGCAGATTGGTTAGATATGCTGTCGCGTCGCTTATGTGCCACGCAGAGCGAGCGCCTCGGAGTTGGCGTTTCTGGAATAGTGCGTTTCACTGGCACACTTTTTTGTTTACCAATGTGACGGTCTCGCGTTGCTACGCGAACTGCCTGTCTGCTTTTTGTTTGTCGTAAACATTGGAATAACCCCCCCCCCCCCCCCCCCCCCCGTTTTCAAATATTTATAAATCATTGAGGTAAAGTGGCTATGCGGCGCAGTTTGTTGCTACGTGCACACCCAGAAAGTGAAATGGGAGCAGATCTATCGCAACCATGACCGCATCTGCTGGTCTTGTGGTTAAATAAGAAGGAGGAAACAATCATCTTGATGTGTTGCTCTCGTGTATATGCGTATCGAGTAAACGAAAAACAAGCTAGCAACATTGTCTACAGGCGCTGAACTATAAATAAAGAAAAAAAAAAACAGGTGTGGCTGATTTTGTGTTTTTTCTTCAGGACCTACAGTCACACACAGCTGTAGCCTGAAGTGGGGTGACATCAATGACGAGGCTCGCTCAGAAATCGGTTTTGCACGTAGTAATCTTAGATATTTATTAAACATGTATTTTAGTGGTGAATTTGACCTTGTGAAATTTCAAAGTGGCGCTTTTTTCCAGTAAAAAACGATACCAACAAACTCGCCAGGGTCAGCATCGCTTGCAAACGACATTTAGTATAGTCGCTGAACAAGTTTGCCGTTGACCCGGCTAAGTTTGTTGGCCTCATTTTATAATAGAAATGGAGCTACGCGTTGAAATTTTACAAGGTGAAATCCACCACTAAAATACACCTTTGATGAGAATTACATTGGTACGTTCAGGCGCCGGGGTTT